CAATCCTGAGTATGGATAATTAAAGTCGACAACGATATATAAAATCAATCATCACAGTGTTCTGTAAAAACTACATCAAAATTCAGTGTTAAAGAAAAAAGGAGCTCAGGATCAGATAAACATGAGAAACAAAGAGAAGGGATTGAATTCAGAAAGAAAAAACATAAAAGGAACCTGGAGTTTGGTACAGCTGTAGCGCTACGTAGCGCTACAAGTCTGAACGCTGCCTTACCGCGACCAAGTGATCAGCGAAATGCCTCCGTGCATTTGGCATCGTTGTCCGCACTCGCAGAGAATATACCACTTTCGTCACTCGAAATGGCGAGATAACGAAGCTAGAGACGCGTGAGTTTTGCAACCGGTGCAACCGCGTACTGTAACTGTGCAAGACAACGGCTTACAAGCGGAACCGCCTTGTATATAGCGTTGCCTGGAGCATCGTGGGGCGATTTCCTATGCTTTTGCCAAGAATCGGTTGTACCTAGATTCTGCTGATTGGGCTTGTCCTCATTATGAACTAGGGCAGGGTAGGGCATGAACCAGGGCGCCGGCCCACTGCTAGGGGGGATGTGCTCAGGGTGTTCCGAAACTTTTTTCGCTTCTTTCTCTGCTGATGAGTTTTTGATGGGCTACTGGTTCATGACTGAGCACCTGCTACCTGTTACACTTGACCGCGGGAATTTTCTTTGAGACTTCGTCTCGTCAGGCACCGAAAAAGTCAAACTGCTTCTCATGCAGTCATGCAAAACTTTCCGTATCCGAGAAATTCTTCTTTGAGATTCCTGAAACTTGCTGGGATGCCCTTTCCTTTCAGCTCATCCTCCTCGTTGGCGGTTTCCTGAAGTTGACCAGCGTGTCATGCAATACTTCCGTATCCTCCTTACCTGATAAAAAATGCGTCACAATGCTACGCTCATCAAACTCTTTGCCCCTCAGCGCAATTTGATTTGAGAAATAAAGAAAGCAAGTTCGTGGGGAGAAAGAACAAGGGAGGAAATGACCGAAGCCCCTAATTCAATAATTTATCCTCAACACTATGTGCTTCTTCTGACATTATGTGCTCTTTGGGGCAATACATGTGCAGTTACAGAAAGCGGCGTATCTGAAGAATGAATAACGTAAGTGAAATGGGTTGTGTACGGACAGCGAGTGTTCCACATATTCGCTGTCATGCCGGGCTACGTACAATAGCGCGCAGCAGCGAAGATCCCATGGGTAACAAGCGCTGAAATTGGCAGAAAGGCGAACATGCTAGTGCAGCAGTATCGATAACAACGTACAAGCATGAGAGATGAGGGTTATCACAGAATCTGTCAAATTACAATCAGGTGTAGCGCTCTTCCGTAGACAGCTAACAAAAAGGAAGAGGGTGCACAACGACAATAACTTACTATGAACTCCTCAGTCAAGAGCAAACAGAGTTTTAGAAAGGATTCGAACAAATCTCCAAGATCTAGATAACCAAAGACGGCAAGATGGCGACCAGTGCAAGAAAAGGCTGGGTAATAGGCAGCAGCGCTAGCTCACAAGCACAACTGTGGACCACAGGTTGTCACTATTCTTTCCAGATTTCATGGCTGTGCAGGAGCATAACAAGTATAAAATGTAACAAAAGTAAGCCATATCGAACTGTAGTAACAAGTAACAAGGCGGAGCAAGAACGAGATAAGCGCTAACTATGCAAGAAAATAAGCGATTTCTGGGGCTTTAAGGGCTACTCAATGAGAGAACTGAGTGATTCCGGCGACAACAACTTTATTGATCTCTCGATTGCCGCAACTGAAGACTATTCCATCAACCAACGTTTCAGCATCGAGACCGGCGAGAACGGGAGAGTTTAGGTCAAAAGAGACAAAGTCCAGTTGTTTGCCGATCTGAAAATATCAGAGGTTTAATAATCGGAATCGCACATAGTTGTCAGTATTAAGCAGCCGCTGGCTAAAATTTGTAGCAACGGATACACCATCTAAAGCATGGTGGACTTCATCCCTCGAGACGCTGGTGGACGCCGGTAGACGCTAGCGAACGCTAGATCGATTTCTATATTTGCCCTGCCGCTGACGCTGACGCATGTCGAATCGCTAGTGGAGCAAGTATGATCGCAGCCCATTGGCTGTTAAACTCTGTATGGGCGCAATGCGGAACAGCGTGAAGGGGGGGAGGGTGTTTTGTATGGGATCGGCTCTTTCTATGAAGCTTTTCTGACTGCTTTTTTACTGGATATTTGAAAACTTTTGCGACTTTGCCTTGAGAGTTTGTGGTCACTCAAATTTGACGGCTACGTCGCAGTTGAAGTGATTCGCATTCTTGCCGCAACCTTGGTGCAGACGGTGAGCTCACCATAGCGTCCTCATAAATGAAGCCTGCAGTTGAAAGAGCGGTTCAGAACCTTCATTCTAGGACTTCCCACCGTTTCGTCTTGCTCTTGCTCAGCTCTTGCTTCATAGTCTTTAATTACTGTCACTTCTTCCCTTCCTCTCAATTGTCGGATCCACCATCTTCAGGTTCTCAGTATGCACTGGTAAATGCTCTCTATACTTGCTGTCATGTAGCACGAATTGCAGCATTATCAATACTTTAGGCAGGGAAGCTTTGATACGTAATACCTTCCAGAAACGTGAGTGGTAGGTTCACCAACACATGGTGGGAGACTGGAGAAAGGATTGAACAGGGGTGTATGCTATTTATAAGGACCTACCTCTATACTTCCCGTAACACTATCGATAGCAAGTGATCGAGCACCTCCCATGGTGGCATTGTGCAACAAACGAGATGCTGACAGACCGCCAACACTGCGGGAATTGTAACGCATCTAAAATCCCTCTAGTACCATTACTTCTTTATCGTAGAGACTAAAAACTATAACAGGTTGCGCTGCAAAGTCAAACCTGTTGAGAATAGCAGGCCCATCGCATCTCCTCGAGAAAACTGATACGGTTGTTGCAATCGGTGCCGAAGCTTATGTTCTGGTTATCCATCACATGTGGTATACCATCTCCCAAATACCCTTAGGAAAGGAAAAATTTGTTTGATTTCATTTTATGTTCAAAGGAGTGAGCATGGAGCAGAAGGAGACCGAAGCAATTACCTTCAGTACATGGACAAATGACCACGTTCGCACCAAGTTGCGTGAACTTCTTCATATTTGACGGGGGTGTATAGGTTGCATGTACAGCAGAGAAAAGTTCACCGATTTCAAGATTATCGAGCAGAATGTCAGATGGACCCTGGAAATATTATATTATGATGACAGACCGTCACATTACAGCTAGCTTAATTGCCTAAAAAAGCTGGTTTGGAGATTCTTTTTTGTAATGGTTTCGTACACATATCCTTTGTGACGGCAAGAGGCACGCTTACCACGCGCCCTGCCCGTGGTTGAATCCTGGATGGCGGCTGTGGTGAGCGTGCTTTGGTTGGAGAGTAGGAGCTTGGTCGGCTTCCCCCAAGCCGACAAGCCTTTTATGCTCCGAGTAAGATGACTTCGTACTAGATTTGTCCTACAGGATAAGTGCACTGACTTGCACAATGGCTGGCCCCGCAGCTACTTGCAGAGACCGCATCGCATCGTTGAGGTTCTGGATGGGAGAAGAACGCGTGCCGCATCTTGAAAAAGGGATTATTCAACGGCGAAGACTTCACCTTTTTGATCCTTACTCATTTTCACATATCCCCATCACTTGGGATCATTCCTTGGTCAAGAATGGTAGCCGTTTACTAATTAGGAGACGAGGCATCACTCAGAGTATGTATTCATTTCACTTCATGAACAGTTTCAAGAATGTTTTCAAGAGAAGCCGTGTCGCTCTTTGTTGGAATCCCTTTTGCATGATGTCGTCTTCTGTTTCCCTTATTTTCATTGGACTAAGGTTGTCGGATGAAATCCTTCTTGACCAAATGTTTCGACTTCTCCGCCTCCTCTAGTGATTCAAAAATATCAATACTGCTCTTATTCTTATTCTATTCTTCTCTCTCAAAGATGCTCTTCCTTGCAAGATATGTACCCAGCGCTTCATAGTCTAATGTCATCTAAAACGTATCGAGAACACATTTGAATGACCTGCTCAAAAATACATGTAACTCGGTAGAAAATATGCTTCATAATGGTTTCATGAGTTCTCCGCGATCATTCGCCATCACAGATAGTGGAATAGGGACCCTAATGCAGACGACAAGGTGCTGAGTAACTCGATGGAGAAGAAAAAGCAGAAAAAAAAATCAATGCGATGCTGCCTGTATATTAAGAACCCACTTCCGATCCCATTTGGCATGGGCCCATTAACTCATCCTGCTAACACTACGCCCTCAGCCACACAGATAACTCCCCAGTAAGAACTCTGCGACCGTGCCGACCGTGACGATTTTCACGCTTTTTCGTTCTGCAGCTTCGTTTTCACTGAAAGGCGGGCCTTGAAGGCAGAGTCTGTAGGTGTCACTGGAAAAAAGGCTGTAGCGCCCCTCACAATCTTTTTACCGCGAAACCGGCACAAGGTTGCTCGTCTGTGACCACACATTATAGTTTGTATAAACTTTCCCGATCGGTGATTTCCCTTCCACTTGCATGCAATTTATGTACCTCTAGTTTGCGGCGAAAAGAAATTCTGTACACCTCAGATAGATCTCTGATTGAAGGTGTCGCCCCTACCACCTCCTACCCCTTCCGACGAGAGTCGAAAAGGGAAAAAAATTGAGTGAGTGGCTAGCTACTCCGTGGAGAATGTCGTACCGAAAGACGAGCTTTGAGCCGATGAGGTACCCTGGTGGAAAGAGCTCATCCTGGGATAATACGCAGCCCTACTTATGAATGCATCCGCTGCGATTGGTTTTGCATACGGTAGTCTCAGCGACTCACACTCCTTCGATCTAGAGAATTCTTGGAGGATGAAGCAAAAATTCAGAAACCATGGTTTTTCTGCTCATACGGAAATATAAACTTAACGTGTTTGTCCAGTGTAATTACCTTTCTCTCGCCGAGGAATCGCATACAGTCTTCGATCTCTTTCGGTTGTTCTTCAATATGTATATGAAATGCAAGCTTCCTTTCAATCGCAAAGTCGTACAACTTCTTGATGTTTTCAAAGCCAACAGCACGTGCCGAGTGGGCTGAAATAACGTACTCTTATGCTCGAGCTGATTTTGAAAACACATTTAGCTATTGTGAAGCGTGAGTATTCTGGTACGAACAGGTAGATATGCTTGATGAATGTATGAAGAAAAGGCAGTCTAGAGGCAAAAGCCTCCGCCGTGATCAATCTCTTTTCTGTTGGGCGGCACGCATTCTGCTCCCATTCAGAGTGGCTCACTAATGTGCCTATAAAATGGCCAGCCGATGTCTGGATCTAAATTTACCGTTCCCGCAGGGTAGAAGGCTTAGGTTGCCTGGGCGAGAGTTGAGCCGGGGCTTGACAGAACCGCGCTATAGGGTGGTAAGCGTGCCACTCTGTCACTAAGACCAGCCTCCGTCGCGCCTCAAGAAGGAGAGCGCAGAAGAAGTCGAAATATTCCTCGATAGGAGAAACAAAGCTGATTTTAAACAACGAGTGAGCATGACGGAGACCTAGAGAGGCCCAGCGAGGCACCATATAAGTGCGGGCGAGAGTCGCATAGCCTAGCACGCAAGCTCGGGGAGACAACCTATGAGGAAGGCGCCTACTTCACCAGACGGGATAGGCAGCCTATACTTGATGTTTTCGCCGTCATCCGCCGTCATGCAGCGGTAGGCATGGAATGAGCCTAACCGTGGCCTTTCTATCTCTCGTTGTTCGCCTCCTAAATCGATCACTAACCGATTACTGCTGGTGGAAACCCCATGACTGTCCGCGACGACATCAAGCTATACTTTTACTTTGGTTTGCGCTGCGCTTGCATCGAAAAGAATTTCGAAATGGTATTCAACTAATTCAGGCAGAGCATAGGCAGACCAGAAAACAACATCAGCTGCATATGCCTTTGGACATACTTTAAAGAGGAACAACATCTCACCGTGCCCGGCAATAGTGACTGTTTGGCTAAGAAACGTTAGCAGTTTTGTTGAAGATTATTTCGTAAATCGTAGATAACTGGAAAACGAAACGCTCCTGAAAGGATGCCAGTAGTGTTCGTTCGAAGCTGTGCGTGTTTGCGTAGAAAGTCTGAAATGCAAGCGGCAGTTGTTAAAAGTTCAACATGCAGCTCAACACCCGAACTCAGCAATAAAGGTCGCTCAAACGCTGCGCTTGAATGAGCGGTAATCCGAAAATTCCAGGCGTCCGGGCTGCTCTTAAACTGCCCGAGTCAATGTCTGAACTTGCTTCGTGCCGTGATGTACGTAGTGGAAATTCTCGGACTACGGTAGGTTTATACCTGCTTCGAGCATCTCGCGAAACGTGCAATAGCAGTACTGAAATGGTCAGTATCGCTCCGTTTAAGTGTCAGTAAGCCTGCCCCCATCAAGTTTCCCTATCAGGTACGATCCCGTTCCGATCGTACCAACCAACTTCCTAGGTCATCCCTCTTCCTATTGTTTTTTTCCGGTTTTCAAAAACAAAAACTGCGGTTGAGCGGGAGGATGCCTTCAACCATCTGCTACCATTTTCTACAATCGAAAGTAGTTGCCGTATGGTATTCTACTGCCCGGCAACTAGGAGCGCAGGGATAGAGTTTACCAGAAACGAGAAAGAACAAGCATAAAGCGACAACCGCTGGAATCTTTCTTTCATGCCTAAGAACAATTCTCTTGAAGGTCAATGCGACCCACAGGTACTTCTCCCAGCGGTGCTGTATCCTGGCACAGGATTGCCCTGATGGTGAGCTGTTTTTTCTCTTTACGCTTTCAAGTCTGTATCTGTTGCGTGATCACTGCTGTAAACACTCATTTTGAAAACATTAAAAAATGTTCCAGCAAAAGAAACCTCGTAGAGCTTCTCTGTTGTAATGCCGTCTACGAGCGCGTACATGTTGTCCCTCCATTTCCAGAACGTGTCAGCTGATTTGCCACCGATTCCACTTTTCCCTCTGAGATGACGGTGAAATGCGTGGGAGTGAGCGTTCACGAAACCTGGCAGAATGACCTAAAAAATAGAGTAGTGAATTGAATTTGATTTAGTGGTACTGATAGAATCTCTTACACTTCAAGAACTCTTATCCTTTCTTTCTTTCGGCTCCTTCACCCTTCATAGCCTTGAACTCTGCCTCTGTAAATTAGGTTGACCACACAAGGGTAGGGCCCGTTTACCTCTGCCAGAGGGAAGAAACAAAGGTATGGAGATGCAGAAGTGTTTATTTTCTGTCTTTTCCCCCGCACTGGAAAAATATCTGTGGACAGCCACGACCGAACTAGTTTCACAACCCTATGGGCACTATTTGGAGGCGCTATTTACTAATTTTTTGAGTTCCAGTTATGTGGATCCCTTCCGCCTCCAATCCCGTGGTTGCCAAAGAGAAGCGCCTTTGGTTCATGTTGTAAGGATATCAGTATTTCACGGTTTATATGTTTCTTGAGGCCAATTGATCTCTTTGGAATACTGGGATAATAATGTTGAATGGAAATTGTCTGAAAATTATTCAAGACCTGCAAAAATATAAAAATTGAAGCTGTGGATAATTCGTCTTGCAAATCCATGAAGTTTGGCCTTCCTTGCTCTATGGCACTCAAATAATCAGTGCGTAACCATTAGCCGAGGGAACACAGCATAGAACTTCACCCATATAGCAACGTAACGGGTTCGTCCATCTGTGTGACAAAATGTGACAGCGGTCCTATATCTTTGAACAGGACGGATAATGTGTTGCGTCCATTCCGTGTACGACTAATCTATGCAGTTTCGCTCGTCTTCCGACTCGTTTTTCTGTGCCCTTATCTGTTATAAGGCAGGGCTGGTGCAGCGGCAAGTGCCACGCTTGCCACGCGTATGGGGATCAGAACCTGCAGCAGCTCCCGCCTGGGACAATCGAGCCGTCTGCCCACTACGGACGGCAATCTGGCACTGGATCTGTCTGGGAGGATGAAAACGCTGCCTTGTGGCTGGCCCTCGCAAGTCATTGCATAGCCACATCGCATTCAATAAGCCACTACGATTCTGAATGGAAGTAGAATGCGTGCCGCATCCCACAAAGGGATTGATCAACGGCGAAGACTTTATCCTTTTAACCTTATCCGTTGTCCCTCCCATCTAGCACCCGCGCAGCGGGGTCTATCTGTTCGAAGAGCCGTCCTTGAGCCTTACTAAGGATCTCTGTCTGTTTATACCACCCTTTTCCTCAGTGAGTCAGTAATCATCCAGCTCATAAGTGAACCGCAAATCCCACAAATTTAATTTCTGAAATGTGTCTTTAAATGACCATAGATGCCTGTAACAGAGGGTAATGTGAACACATGCTCATCATCTCACTTCCGGAAACGAAGGTTCCATATAGGTCCCCGGGAATGTATTAGAAGAAGTACACATTCTTGTATATCTGAACCGTCGACAAAGCGCTCCCCAGCAACCACTTTTCTTTAAGCTTCGGTTGCGCTTCCTATAGAACTGCTTGGGAGGTCTTGAAGTATTTGAGAGCATGATTACTTTAAATTGCTCTTTCTTCTTAGAGAAAGGCTTCTGACAAATGGTCCTCCGGGAAGATCAAAGATGCGCTTTGCCGCAATCCATCTCAGGAACATTAGAAATCTGCTAAGAACTTTAATTTATTGCATACTTGCCGCATATGGGATCTTAGGCTTAAACCAAACAGAAGAGAGGCAGAACCAAAGGAGGATAACGACTGGAATGCTCCTCTATCCAAGCAAATCTCCACTCTTCGCAAAGTCTCTTAATATCTACAGTACACATGAAAGCACGCTTAGCCTGATCACCGCCTTTTCCAATTGAGCTCTCAGATAAAGGGATAAACTCTTTTGGAAGTCCCGAATGGAAGTCAGTTGCGTTCCTTAGGGGCTGTTTGATGCGAAGCACAATCACCCCCAGTCTTTCAGTCGAAAAGTAAAGGCATGCTCCGTGATGGTCCCCAAGAATCAAAGCGTTATATTGGTAGAGGTGCTGCGGGCTGTAATTTACAACCTTCTACCAGTTTCGCTTCAGAGAGCTGCAAGATAAGGACGTGAAGATATACATACATAGACAATATACAGGGGGGGGGCAAAAAAAGACATTTCGACCGAGTCACATATCAGCAAAGTTTTCGCAGCCCAGACAGAGGACGTGGATACGAGTACCAGGGCGGAGGATACCCAAGATGTTCCTCTATAAGCAGGAGCTGGCTGCCGCCATCACCTTCATGTACACCAAAATATGAAGTCATCTCCAGTCGCAGCCTGACTGGAGAAGACCTTTGGAATTCATGTCACCTCCAAACAGCTGCGAAACTTCTAGTATGGAGTCACCCATGGATAGCTACCTGGAGACCAGTACTCTCGATCTGGATGACCTCCAACATCGAGCAGCTCCGACAACGTCGCCACGGTCTAGGACATCATCTTCACCCAGTCGCCAAGGCGCCAGTTGATGGTAGGGACCGGACGTACCTGGAATGGAGAGACCAATATTTTCTTCGCGGGCAACGGACTGAAGGTGAGCACTGGCGGTTACATCGAGCAACTCGAGAAGAATATCCTCCACATGTCGTCGCCCGTACCTTCTTGGAAACTTTGTACTGCTACAGGATTGGGTGACACCACATGGAATCAAAGGGTTGGGAAAACTCTTGCCTACTTGGAATGGAAGGGCGTTGAGTACCTGAAGAAGGTGGAATATCTAAGCAGGTCACCTGACCTAAACCCCCTCAATTACCTGGTTCGGGCGGAGTTCAATAGGGTGGTCTACAGTGGCGGAGAAATCAACGATCTCGCTGAACTCAGGCACCCACTCACGGTCGCGTGGCAGAATCTCTCGATGGCGCTCCTCCAGAAGGCGTAATAATAGTATTATTTGATATGCTCTTTAATATGGTGGTGAAAATATCCGATAAGAATTCAATAAAGTGTAACTTACAACGCCTCGAAAGTCAAGGAAGAAAAAAGTCTTTTTTTGCCCCCCCCTGTAATACATAGACATAAGACGCATAGTTGCTCCATGAGCGCAAGTGACTCCGCCTACGCTGGGGTCGGTCGTTTCCGCTCATTTGTATGCTCTCTCAACTGCTGCTGTCTCGTATCTCGCGTAAAATTCCAACAAATCTTCATCCCTCCCATGGGCGAAGGAGGGGCCCTGACCAACCAGGAAAACTCGGATATTGACGCCTCTCCGCTTAGGATGGAAGCATTCGGCAACAATTGTGTAGCGCTTTGTGAACCGAGTAGCTGCGGGTATCAGTTTCATTCAGAGATGTGAAGGGGCGATTGGGGTGCTGTCTAGACGTTTTTTGTTACGCTCAGTCAACCCAGAAGGCTCTATAATCATCGAACCAGTAGTTATCATGGATGATCTTTGTTGTGGGCTAAATTTATTTCTCGAGAAGGAATGGTATGTGGTAATAAGCGAAATCGCTTAGGAAACGTGAAACCGTGGAACAAAACCGATCTAGGTAAAGCATTTCCCGCGAAATGGGAGACTATTCTTGCCCACTCGAATTGCGCCACGCACTTTGGGATGGCCCATGAGCCCTAGATCTCGTTTTATGCAAAAGTAGTCATCCATTGGCTTAAAACCATTTCTCAGCACATTGAGAACTGATGACAGGCAGAACTTTGACATAACCTACTATCAGCAAAGCTCGTGTAACTCTACAGAAACACTTTACATAATTATCTGGTCCGTAAGAGTTCACAAAATTCTCACCGTCCCAAGCGAACTTTTGCTGACAATGAGTTACTTATACGAACTGGAAATGAGAATGTATTAAAACTGCAAACGGTACTCTTGAACTCCTTTCCGCATATGGAAAGCGTAAGAGAGGCTGCGGTGAACAAAATCGGTAAAAATGAATAACGATAACATCAGCTAAGAAGCGAATCAGCCATATATCAACTTGAAATGACCTCCAGCTAGAGCCGCTCTTCTCTCTCTCTCTCTTCCTCTCTCTCTCTCTATTTTCCTGTTTCTCGTTGGAACTTTAGCATTGGAAGTGTATCAGAGTCATCAAATCATTGCGAAGTAGGAAGAAGTTCATAATTTCGCCAAAATAAGCAACACTTTTCAATGCGTACGTAACCAATCTAGAAACACGCTCGGGCGAGATCTGAGGTGCAGGTTTAGGTGGCAACCTCCCCCCCGCCCCTCTGAGAAGGTGTCAATGACGACCCATCCTTAATGAGAATCTCCGTTTTCTCTTACGACCCCTCCCCTCCCTTCACCTATAATACTAGAAACGGAAAAAATTCAGGGAAAAAGTCAGAAAAACACACGCCCCAACACACTACAATCAATAGCGAAAATGACTCCGCCTCCACACGAGAACAGACGACCTACATGTTTTCACACAACGATGCTGTACCGTGCTCACAAATCTCTAGGGATTTCAACTCCCATAGACGGGATGGGATCGCTTACAAACCTGGAAAGTGGGATCGCAGTCAGGTTATGTAAAGGATGAATCTGTTGTCCATGACCAGTTTATTTATGGGATATGGCATGCACTCCTATTTCATTAAACGTAGTGGCAGGCTTAGCCTCTTTTGCTACCGCAGCGGTACGTAGTCAACTCTTGGAGACTTCGGGCTGAGCCCGAAGTCTCCCAAGAGTTGACTCGTACCGCGCGCGTAGCAAAAAGCAAACCCTCCACAGCTCGGCTTTCACAAGATCAGCATTAGAATGTACGTAACACGTGGAAAAAAGGACGCTGCTCAATACCACTGAACCATTCGTACGCTAGTCTTCCGGAATCAGCCAGTTTTTTACCGACTTTTCTCAAGGACGTCAGATTCGGCTGGAAATTCGTTCCCACAGCTCCTCTGAAGTACAACCCGCCCGGCCTGAAACTGCCAGGCGCCAAAACACCCCAACTCATCAAATTAGCTGGAAGTTATTATCCGCTGC